TTATCACTGTCTTCCTTCCTCTTAAGTCTGTATCTAGTCTCTTTATGGCCCTGGTACCTAAGAAGCCTACAAAAGGTGATCCTCCCACAACTAAAAGCAGGTCCAGTTCTCTTCCTTGCCATGTCTAGGCTAAAAGAGTTTTTTGTTTCTTTGTTTGTTTGTTTTTTAAAGATCCTTTCTGGGGAAGCTAGATGGCGCAGTGTATAGAGCACCATCCCTGGAGTCAGGAAGACCTAAGTTCAAATCCGGCCTCAGACACATAACACTTACTAGCTCTGTGACTCTGGGCAAGTCACTTAACCTCAATTGCCTTGCCTACCCCCTTGACAGAGGTGTTCAAAATATGATGGCCACAAGATCATGATCTTCTGAAGTTTAAAAGCCTAGCACCCACATTTCTGTAGTCTTCCCCTCCCAAAATCTGTCCCTTCCATTTCCCCATTCCCTTACATGGTCCTTCCACTTTTTCAGTTAATCCGTTTTTCAAATAAATGGCTTTTAGCTGCAATTAAACCATCTGATTCCCATAGCCTTCATTCAATCAATCCTCTTTCCTTCAGCCCACTTCCCCTACTGCTGAGTCTGAGCTATCTTTTCTGAACTTACCTATATTTGTTAGAAACTGGCATTCATTTGAATAATTAATTGCCTAAGTCTTATTCTTTATTTCCAAGGCACTTTTGGATTAAAAGCACCATTGAATTAACAATCATCCACAACCTTTCAGGACTTTATACCAAAAAATATTAAAAAAATCAACCAACCACCCAAGTGCATGTTATGGTTTACTAATGTGCTATATAAATATTAAATCATACAGGTATAATTCTACCATTATTATATAAATAGCATGCCAAATGTATATATTCAGTAAAGTCATTGAGTTTTTAATGCATAGAGAGACATAAGAACATTTCATGTTCAGGATTGTCTAGTCCAGTAGAATTGGATGTATCCCCATCAGCAGTCTAGAGGATGTCATTACACCAGTCTGTTCCATATGATGGAATTCACTTCAATCACATACTGTTTTCGTTGCTCCTGTATTAAGATCCTGGATCTTTTTTGTGGTATATACACTACCCTGCCTGGCAGTCTACGTTCTTAGAAGAACAACCCTGCATTTGTCATTACTGAACTTAATCCTGTTTATTTCTGATTATTATAAAAATCTCATATTGGTACTTTTTTAATAGTATTTTATCTTTTTCCCAATTACATGTAAAAAGTTTTAACTTTTTTTTTATTGTAAATTCCAAATTTTCTCCCTCTTCCTGCCCTGAGATGCTAAGCATTTTCACATAGGTTATACACGTTCAAATATGCAAAACATATTAGTCATACTATGAAAGAAAACATAGACCCAAAGGGGGGAAAAACATGAAAAAAAATAAAGTGAAAAATAGTATGCTTTGATCTGCATTCAGACTCCATTTTTTTCTTTCTCTGGAGGTGGACAACATTTTTTGGAATTGTCTTAGCGATTGCTGGTCCTTTTATTTTTTTTTTAAACCTCTCCCAGTGAATACCCTTCTCTTTCCAGGATGTAAGGTTAAGAAAAATATATCGATACATCGGCCATTTCTGGAAAATGGATTCCTCACCTGTAACCTATTCACCTTTCTGCCAAGAGTCTGGGAGCAGAGTAGTCCAGCAGTCCTTTCCAGTTAATTGAAACATTAATCAGGTTTCTGAGGTTTTCGTTATGTACTTTCTTCCTATTTCTGTTGCCTTCACTCACTATGCATTATTAGTTCATACTATTTTCCCGAATTTCTCTGAATTCATTATATTATTTCTCATGGCATAATACCACTTAAATTCACGTAGTACTATTTCTTGAGCTATTCCCCCAAAAATGGATATTTTCTTTCCTTCAATTTCTTTCCTATGATTGAAAATGCTTCTGTATTTGCATCTATTTTTGCCTTTTTGTGAACTGCATGAGACATATATCTGATAGTGGTATCACTAGATCAAAAACTCCATACAGAGTAGTGGCTTTTTAAAAATATTTCCAAATTGTTTGCAACTATCGATCATTTTACAACTTTACCAACAATGTGTGCCTTTCTTCCCATAATCTGCTTCAACATTTACCATTTTTGTCTTTGCTAATCCATTGTTGAGAGTTTACATTTCTTCTGAAAACTGCCTATTGCTATCCTTTGACCAATTCTGTAGAATGGCTTTTCTTATGTATCTGCATCAGTTCTCTATATCAAAGATTTTTACTGTTAATTTCTTAATTAACTCTTCTTATTCTAATTGTATTGATTTTGTTCGTGCTTTTAAATTTATAGTCAAAGCTGCTTGTTCTTTTATGACTACCTCGAACCATTTCTTACAGTGATTCTTTAAATTTTGAATTTTATTCTGTAAAACTAAATTTTGTATACCAAGAAAACTAAAAGCAATATACATCAAAATATTGCCAGGTTTCTTAAATAATATTGGGCTGAAAACCAGTCCCCCTAAATATAGCACCTAACATTCTAGGCAACAATTTCAACATGGCTTTCTTTACAGTTAATCAGTCATTGGTAGTACAGATGTTTTCTTATGCTAAAACATATATACAGAAAATTTCTCTGGTACTTAAAATCTAATCCTGTGTTTATTATCTACATATGCATATAGTAGGATGAGGATATCATAATGCTATGAGAAATCTCAAAGGGATCATTTTCATCTGATGGGTTGTTTATTTTTGGGGGATGGGAGTTAGTAGAATGGAGAGGTAAGGAAGAAGTAATCAGGATCTGTTTTCTTGGAGGAGAGGGTAACTTGGAAAAGTGGAAAGTATGTTCAGAGATAGGGAAGGGGAAAGTCCATTCTGCATGAGGCAAGACTACAAGGTGGGTAAACATGTGAAGGGAAGGAATCTGAAAGGTACTTCTCTCTTGACATCTCTCCCTTCAGCTCACTGCCCCACTTGTCCTCCATGGAGCTGGAATACCCAAAGGAGTTACTTATACGTGATCCTTTTGTGGAAAACTGACTTAGCTTCACGTATACTAGTCATTCAAAATACATTTCCAACAGATTTTCTCCCCTTCCCTCCCCTCCCCCAGAAAACACCTATTTTATTTCATACTAGTATATACTTTTTATAATGGTTCAGTGTAAGGATGGGGAACCTGTGGCCTTGAGGCCATATGTGATCCTCTAGGTCCTCAAGTATGGCCCTTTGTCACACAAATTGTTCTTTGAAGTGTGGCCTCAAGGCCACAGGTTCCCCACCCTTCATTCAGTGTATACTTCAGTGTGATTTTTATTTTATTTGGGGGCAAAAACTCTTCCCAAAAAAAATAGTAAAAAATTATTTTAAAAAAAAGGTTAATATAATCATAAGCATTAAAATTCTTCAGCCTCCATAATTTTGTTTCTGCAAAACAATCTAGACATTTTCCAAATTTTGGATCATTATGTTTTACAAGTGTGTTTAGTTTGGGAAAGCTGTCTTAGGATCTTAGAATTCTGACCCTCTGTTCATGAATATGGAATTCAGCCTCAGTTTCCAGTCTTGTAAAATGTGGATTATAAAATACTTACAAGGTTCTGTGAAAATCAAAAGAAAACACAATGCCTTGCGAACCTAAAAGTAATATGTAACTTTTGAGCCCCCAAAAATGGAGATGTAAGTGCCCATTAACTGTACAGGAATAAATGGGATCTAATCCTTATTTATAATTAAAACCTTAAGTCCAGGAAAGGATCAAAGATATTAACAAAAAAAAGGATTTCCTCCAAATCTTTTGGGTTATTTGATTCTGAAAGTAGGACCTGGGATCTCAAATTGGAAAGAAATTTAGCAGTTATCAATTTCATTCCTCCTCCCCTACCCTTTCATTTTATAGATGAAGGCTGTAAGGATGTAAAGCATAAGAGGTAAAATGACCTGCCCAAACATGCCACAGGACTCCTTTTCACACTGTCTCCCATAGTGTAAATCATTTGAACTACTCAGATTTGTGTTCTCTTTCCAAAATAACATGTATCATAGTTTTGTTATTAGACTTCTAAGTCTGTGTTCGCAGATATTTTAAGTGATAATTTCAAATGTTATTCTGATTCTTTCAACAAGGAGCTTATGTCACAATAATGTAAAATCTTTCAGAAGCCAAGTACTGGAAAGTGATGGAGATTCACTTTGGGACATAGAGTCAAGTCCAGGAAATTCTCCCAGGGACCTGGATCATTTAAAAGTCTGTGAAAGCAGCCAGGAAGATACTGAGGATACAGAACTAGCAAAGGGAGGCTTCATTAAGGTGCAGCAGGCAGCTTCTGTAGGACTATGATGCAAATATTTATTTTGTTACAGTATAAGAATGATGTTTAACCATGATAAGCACCCATAAATAATTAGTACAATTTTCTTCGTGTTTTATTATCATGAAATTGTGTTATCTTGCATTCTAGACTTAAGAGGTCAGATTTCGATTTGTTTAAAACTGAAGTATAACCATCTTGTTTGAGACATTGTACTGTCACTTTTCTACAGCTTTTTTGAATGAATAGCACTTTTCCCTAATGCATAGTTGGAATATATAAATATTAATTATTATTGTTACTAAGTTGCTAAAGAATAAAACAAAAACAAAAAAAGATTTAAAAACAAAGTAATCATAAGTTCAAAATAAAAATTATATTCTAGGCCAGTTTTTGGCAACCCTTTTGAATATGAGGATTCCCTTTTTAACATCAAAATATATCATAGCCACCTCAATACTGATAGTTGCATTATTAGATCTTTTCATTGAGAAAAAAATGACAAGAAGCTACTATGAATCCAGTAGTACTTTGAAATGAATTTGTATTAATAAAAAGTCCAATAGCATCTACCTTTGTTTCAAAAAGAATAAAGCATATATGTGTATTAGTCTCCAAAAGAAGGTATATTTGCTTGTCTGTGAAATCCCATATTGAATCCTATTAGTGTCACAGCCTAATGATTACCAACTGTCTATTCTAATAGTAACTTTTTCCCTCTCTATAAGGTAAAAAGAAGCCTCACTCGAAAAGGGAGGAAATGACGGCCAAATAAGGACAGGCTCAAGCTTCTGCAAAAACTAGAATTCAAAATGTACCTGTACAGAAACTGAGATTACTTCAAAACACCCAATTTCTGCCTTGAAAACTGAAAAACTATTACTTCCCTTTCATATGACACCAGTCCTTGAATGGAAATTTAAAGCAGAAACTCTTGAAAGAGGCTAAAAGCAACTGTACTTATTTTCCCCTGAGACTTTTTTTATGAAAAGTCAATAATTAAGCAAATTGCTTAACACTTGGTTCCAGTTCCTGCATATCTGGAGTTTAAAGTGCATCACACCGTTCTTTTCCATGCTGCATTTTTTTTTAAAGAAAGTCACAGGATGTCCTTACACTGACACAGAAAAATTCGTAATTCTAGAGCCAGGAATGCCCATGTTACACAAGAAAAATAGAAGCCTACTGAATTAATTTTAAGGAGAAAAAGAGATTGGAACAAGTACTTCTTGGCTTTTCCTTTTGAAGACTTTTATGTATAATTCTTTCCGCCTGCCTACTTTTCTGCAAAAATAAGATGTACAGATTTCATTTCCCTGCTATGAAAAGTCATGTGGTGGCAATTTTATAAATGTTGCTTTCTGATTTTTATCAGAGTGAGAAAATAATTAAAATTATTGGTTTGCAAGTAAACATTTCATTTTTAATTTCCCCCCCATTTTAGTTTAATATAATTTGCAATAAATGTACATATTGTTGTTTGTTTTATAAAACATATCACTTTAAAAGTTTTTTACTCCAGTGGGTATTATGTTGGAATATTGGAAATTTTAAAGGAGTAAAGGCAGTTCAGGATTTGGTTTTGTAATGTGCATCACCAGATTTTTATTATTGATGTAAAGAAGTCAATTTTTAAAAATAGATGGACTTTGGCAGCTTCATAAGGAAAGTTGGAAATGGTTAGAATTGCACTCAGTTTTAAGCATTGCGATAAATGAAAGAATGTCTGTTTGCATTTTGTTTCCCAGTATGAACTCTTTTTTTTTTAAATTTTAGAAGACTGTTGCATCCATATTATGTTTCCTGGCATTGTTCAGCAAGGGTAAACGTGTACACTTTGTGTACACGTGAGCATATTTAAGTTGGTTGCATAAAATAAATGCTTCTAGGTGTCATGATAGTCCTTGCTTTTTAATCTGTCAGTATGTTTTCTCGTCTTAAATGGAGTTTTCTTATGTGCAGAGGCTAAATGGATTCAGAATTGGATGGCATAATTACAGTCAATTCTCTGTTATCCATGGTAATGGAGGGTAACAGTAGTGAATTCAGAAGTATTTCTTTGATTCGACGCAGTGATGTGTCCGATGACCTGGAAATGCATGGGAAAAAAAAAAAAGCAAGCAAGCATCCTCAGGATCCAAGGAACTTCCATATACAACTTCCCCTGCACAGAACTCTCCTGTTTCTTATTAGAGGTTCATTTCCTTAGCAGTCAGTAAACAATTATTAAGCACCTACTATATGCCAGGAGTCGTACTAATAATCAACTTAGCACGAGCCTCAACTTTGAACTGGACTTGCACCATGTGCCTATACTTGGTTAGAGGCAGTAATTAAAGTAAACAAGTGATAATGAATTGTTTCAACAAAGAATTACCAACCTGCTTTGCTCAATCATGTTAACAAAAATTTGAAAGCAAGTTTTTACATTAGACAAGTATCTACCACCAGCACCTCTCAGGATAATCCAGAGTTGGCTGTATATTAATGTATATGGAAGATATAAATAATTCAGTTGTTTATAAAATGGAGAAATACTAATAACAGAAAAATATGATTCTGGGAGGATGTAAGACTGGCCCTACCACTTTTTACTGCCTTCTCCTATTGCCTTGTAATATAAATCAGAAGTGAAGCTCAGACTTGGTCCCTGGACCCTGTGGGGCAGGAGGAAAGAACAATAACTATGCAGAAGTATAGGACAGTGACTTTAGGCAGCCCATGAAAATGAAACTCCCAAGTCAGGGAGTTTTTCAGGTTCTCTTAGTATTAGACAAGTTAATTAATTTCAGCACCCTCAAGCCCTTAAGGAGAGAACGAGAACCTTTTTTCCCTGGAACTAAACCCTCACTATTGAAGACCAAAAAGCAGCTGATACAGGGAACCATGTTATATATAGGGGGGAAATTGCTGCATTGATCTAAAGCAATCTGAATTCTTGCAGGGGGAAAAAGGCAAGCAGAGAACTCTCTATATAAATTATAGATTGAATAGAAAGAACTGGCAGGACCGTGCACCTGATTTAATTATGGCATCCAAATGTTTAGCACGAAGGGAAGTAAATAAGAAATAGGAAAATGAGAGGCTGAAAAAAGATTAAGCTCTTTTGAATGCAAAAATACCTATCTGAACACAAATTTGGTTTCTTTTTAAACAATTCCTCTTAAACTGTTATTCACATCTCAAAGTTAAACAAAATGAAGAAATCCAGATTTGCAGTTAAGAGTTAATGTTAACCCTTTGTGTCTAGTTAGAGGATTCTTGTAATTTGTCTAATAATACAACCAGAATTTTATACTCTTTGATACAAAGCGTGTATAGTAGTTTTACATATTCTTGTGCTGCACATGGGCTGGATTTTTAGAATTTTCTTTTTAAGAATGAAGCAGAACATTGTAATTTGTGTAAATGCAGAGTGTAATATCTACCATGAAACACTAAAACATGGATTGTTTCAAATAAAACCAAGAAATGCAGCATTATGTTGTAGTAGTGTTGACCCCTAAATGTTCCTGTATCTCTTACAAATAGTTAAGAGGTAAGAAAATGTTTCAGTCTATGCCACCATCAAACAGTACCTTTCTTTGGGTCTTTGAGTCGACTCTGTAAGCTAAGGGAAGCCTGAGGATGATTAGGATACAATGTTGTAAGGAAAGTGATTTACAAATCTACACAGATGGGAGCTGCTATTATATGTAACCTCAGCATTCATGTAGTTTCCCTATTGATTGAAAGAAATTCATATGAATAATTACTCAGAAGGCAGAGAGATCTCTTAAGAAATCCAGGAGAATGTCAGATTTGTCAGCCATAGCTACTCAATGTTGATACTCAGCATTCACAATACTTCTTTTAGCACCACCATGTATATAAATTGCATTTTCCCCCAGCAGCTACTTTCTGACCACAAGGTACAGAGTGAACCTAATGGATACACTTGGATAGCAGGTCCAAGCAAGTGATTCACCACTTGCAAGGAAAGGTAATAGCTAATTAAGACCAATGTAAACCTATGTTTGTGTTCATCTTGAGTGCCCAGCCAGTGTTTGGAATGTGGATTTTTTACTCCCTGTTTTGTTAAAGGTGATTTGAGAAGATTGGAATGTCACAGGATCAAATATAAAAAATTGGAATCCTGTGATCTATCTCATCTAAGGTTTTTACCTGCTTTTTAAAAATCACCAGTGATTATTAAGCTGACAAAAAGTTATTTTTCAGTAGCAGAACCTCAAAGGTCATTCTGAATAAAAAATAACTCCTTTCCCAAGGATTAAAAGTTATTGATCCCCTTTTTCTCACTGCTGGCAACTGGAGAGAGCATAAAATGTCCTCAGAAGTCAAAACACATGCATTCAGGGACAATGGGGTGTAAGGATCTGGATTCATGAATATTAGTGAAGCCAAATTCGTCTTAGTGCAAGTTTACTGTCACATCTTCATAACATTTATTTCATTTTATTATTTATTTATTACAATCAAACACAGAGGCCTAGTGAGTTAAGAAGCTTGACTTCTCTATTCCCCTCGAACAGAGAAAACAAACTGATAAGAACAGCTCAGAGCACTAAGGAAGACATCTAAGATAATTTATGTCCTTAAAGACTTAATTGAATGAGGTTAAGACCTTAAGAAGATCATTTATTCAGGGTCTACTTCTACAAATGCAATTAAATAAATGTGCTTATTTGTTACATATCATGTGTTTAATTTGGTGTTAAGATGATGGATAACACAGTATTAGTATGAGTCAATACATCTTCCTTAAGACATTAATAATTATAATTTAGATAATAATTCAACATAATATATTCAACATAATAATTTCAACCTTCATCTCATACCATGGTGCTTTATGTTCCTGATGCACTTTGAATTACATTGAACTGTGTGTAGGTAAATTAGATAACTAAGCCCTTTCAAAGCAAGGGCTTGCTTTCAAAATACATTGTCCTTGTCAGATACTTGGCAAATTGGATTAATATATGGACCTCCCAGAAAATTCAAATTAACATAAGATTAGGACATACAGAGTGCTTGAAGACTTCAGGAAAGAAAGTGAAGATGGTGGGTGCCCTAATTGACTTTGGATTAGTAAAAAAAAAAAAAAAAGAAGAAAGAGAGAGAGACACAGGCATAGAGAAATGAAAAGTGAAGATAGAGGGCTGTAAGCAGCATTGATCAGTGAGATCTCATTTGAAAATAGCATTAGAAATACAAAAAAGGCAGTCTGTTTTAAGAAGCTCACAGAGGCAGCTAGGTGGCGCAGTGGATAGAATGCTGGCCCTGGAATCAGAAGGACCAGAGAAACCCAGCCTTAGACACATAACACTTACTAGCTGTATGACCCTGGGCAAGTCACTCAACCCAAATTGCCTCACCAAAAAAAAAAAAAGCTCACAGATAATGGGGTTCAAATGCAGGAAAGACAGATCCAGAAGTCCTTAAGGTATATCGGGGTGCAGGGTAGAGATCAAATGTCAGGTTAGGAAGGCAGGAAAAAGCATTGCTTGGAGGTGGGGTCCAGCATGGGGAAGGGTAAGTGGGGTGCCATTTGGGTCTAGCTCCATATAGGGTCCTTCAAGCATCCTTGGAAAGAATCACTTCCAGTGTAAGTATTTGAGTGAAAGAGAAGCAAGTATTTTCACTTATTTATTCTACAGGCTTCCTTTAAAGACTGTACAAACCAACAATGAAAATTCATTTCTGGACTTGACCCTCACTAACACGAAACTAATGTGGTGGAAGTCATCGGAACTTTGAGGGGAACAAGCAGGCATTCATCTTAAATCATGAGAGAAAATGAGAGGAAAGCCAAGCATAGTTTAGTATGTACCCAAGATATGGGAAGGCAGCCCTCGAGGAGGGAAAATAAAATTACAGAGACATGAAGAAACCATTCTGATCCTGAAGCAAAGGAGGAGGAGGCAACCTCCCTGATGTCGGGTTCATAAACCAATTCTGATTTTATAAAGACCTGCAAAAGATGGAAGCATTAAGAGCATTTTATTCAAGACAAAGACATAATACCTGCCCTCTATCAGCTCACATTCTATTGAGGGAATAGATGTACATAGCTACAGGAAGAAAGTTCCACCAGCTACAGAAAGGCCTCATGTAGACCAGGGGGATGATACAGGGGAGGGCAGATTGGGGGAGGGGGTAATCAGAAGCAAATACTTCTAAGGAGTGACAGTTATCAAAGAAGAGAATAGAATGGGGGGGTTGGATAGGATGAAGGTAAATATAGTTTTTCACAACAGGACTACTATGGAAGTGTTTTACATTACTACACCTGTATAACCTTAATCGACTTGCTTGCCTTTTCAATGATGGTGAGTGGGAAGGGAGGGAGAAAATTTGGAACCCAAAGTTTTAACACGTTTAAAAAAAATTATTTTCACATGCAACTGAGAAATAAATACAGGAAATGGGATATAGAAATCTATCCTGCCTTACAGGAAAATAGAAGGGAAAGGGGATAAGAGAAGTGGGGGGAGAGATAGAAGGGAGGACAGATTAGGGGAAGGAGTATTCTTAATGCATGCCGTCTTGGGGTGGGGTGAGGGGATGATGGGAAGAAAATTTTGAACTCAAAATCTTGTGTAAGTGGATGTTGAAAACAAATTTTAAACTTTGAAAAAAAAATTTTAAAAAAATAAATTTCTCATGTAAGAGTGACATTAGAGTTGTGCTTTAAAGGAATTTAGGGATTATGAGTTAGAAGTATAGAGTATTCCAGAAACAGGGTACACTTGTGCAAAGATACACACATGGAAGATGGCAAGTGTGGGGGCAGTTTGAAGACTGTGTGAGGACTATTGTTGAATTGGCTGGGGTTCCTCTAGGTTTCTCCTGCTAAATCACATCAGAGAAAGTTCATCAAGCAAAGGACTTATGCTGAAACAGATCATAGAGTGCTATTTCATTCAAATTTCTTGTTTCATAAAGTTGAGGAAACTGAGACCCAGAACACACTAATTAGCAAGTAGCTAAGATACTACTAGAAACGAGGTCCCACTATAAGAAATTAGGATGAAATCAGTTTGTGGAAGGCTTTTAATAGTTCAGTGGTTTTAATTTGATTGCTTTAATTGATGCTCTAATCATTGAGCATCAATCAAAACTAATAATTTGTGAGTAGGAAACATAAAGAGAGTAATGTGTTAGGAAGATTAATCCAGCAGTGTGTAAGATTTTAGAGTTGAGGAAACTGACAAACTCAATGATTTGCAGAGGTCCACACAGCTGGCTAGTTAAGTTATCTTGAAGTTGAATTTGAATTCAGGTCTTCCTGTCTCCAAGCCCAGGACTCTATCCACTGTGCCACCTAGTTGCCCTTTGGGGGAAGGTGCATTTTTATGGTGGGGTCCACAGTGGTCCATCTTTGGCCCTGTGCCATCCAACATTTTTAGCCACTTATAAACAAAGCACTAGATAACATGGTTATCTATTTTACAGATGAATGACTTCACAAAGATGGAAGAGAGCATGAAATCAAAAGAAGAAGAGGAACAAGAAATTCCCCAAAAAGTTTAAAAGAAAAAACAAATGCACTCCAACACAATGTAAGAATAGTATGAATTTAGAAGAATACCAAAAGACTCATAGAAACACCATAAACAAAACTAGGATTTCTTTAGGATGCAAGAATACCAAGGTGAAATTAACAAAAATATCATCTGATAAAGAAAAATGGAATATGACTAAGAAATTCCAGGACAAGATGAAGAAACTGGAAATCCAAAACATTTTTGCCTAGCTTTCCCAGCACATCATATCCGTAACAACCCAGAAAATATCAAGAAAAAGTCACAGGGAATAATTTTGCCAACTCAGGACGGCTTAGGAAGATAGACCATAGACTAGGAGTGCAATTTTGTGGCAATGGCAGCTGTGGTAGGAAGCATACCAGGGGCTAAGGACAGAAAGGGAATTCAGAGCACTGAGGCAAAAAGAGTTCCCTAGTGCCAGAAGCAGTTCTGTCAACTATTGCCCAGATCCAGGACAGAGAGGATGGTTTCAAACAAGCACAGGGGCCCTAACTGATTACCAAGCACAAAACATATTCCAGAAACATATTTGTGTTTCTTTTAATTTCACCAGTCATCTCTTTAACCAATATTGCAGCTAAAATCCAGAATGCACAATTACAGGAGAAAATACTACAAGCAGCCAGAAAGAAAGAACTGAAATACCACGGAGCCACAGTCAGGTGAAAGACGATTGTGTAATCACACAAGATTAAGCAGCCACCACTATTAAAAAACAGAGTACTTAATTATATTCCAGAAAGCAAAGGATCTAAGATTACAAACAAAAATAACCTACCCAACAAAACTCACAAAAATCCTACAAAAGTTTAAAAAAGGGCATTAAATGAAATTCAAGCATTCAAATTCAAATGAAAAGATGAGATTAAACAGAAAATCAAGATAAACAAAAAATAAAGAAAAAAAAATCTTGCATCCTTATATGGGGAAAT